AGGGTGGTTAAACACTGGAATAAATTGCCTAGGGAGGTTGTGAAATCTCCATCTCTGGGGATATTTAAGAGTAGGTTAGATAAATGTCTATCAGGGAGGGTCTAGACAGTATTCGGTCCTGCCATGAGGGCAGGGGTCTGGACTCAATGACCTCTTGAGGTCCCTTCCAGTCCTAGAATCTATGAATCATGTACTATTGCCAGACTCCTACCTCTGAGCACAAAATCATATCTACTACAATTTTTAGCCTCAGCAGCTGATTTTCTAGCTTTTGAGAATCTGTCAAAAAGCTGATATATTTTGAACATTTTTTCACGTTATCCATGACCTTATGTCTAAGCATTGATGTCCATAAATTACTGCTTTGCTGTGGGAAATATTTGCCTTGAAAGCAAATTCCCATTGTAAGGGGGAGACAGTAGTTTGGGGCCTATATCTGTATTTAAAAGTAACTGTGAACAATACTACAATCCTTGTTCAAATATAGTATACATAGAATGACTACAGTTGTTACTCTGTAATCCTGTAGATCATTTATCATTTTAATTTTTTTAATTTAATAATTTTTAAAAAAAATTTATTATTTAGAATAGAGGTTATATATAAAGGATACACTTTTGTCTTTACATAACATATTGTAAAATGAATAATGATGCAAAAACTGTTGACTGGATAAAGGGTCCTTTAACTTTGAACAGCTAAGGGGTATCTTCTTTAACTGAAATAGTAGAAGCCTGTGTTTTTGAATCCTGATGGACAAGGGTGTTAGACCCAGTTCCCCAGGTATGTGTACATATAATTTATCAGAGATGAACCTACAGAAACTGGATCCATTGCATTGTGACTCCATACCCAGACTTGATAAGGTTTCTAATGTCTGCCTCTAAGATTGTTTTGTGTGTGGCATTTCGCTCTCTAGTGGTAGATTGCAATTCTGATTTTAAAAACTCGGGATATTTTCCTTTCTTGCCAACTGTCACCCATTTGTTCACTAGCGCGACAACTTTGACCACAGCTGTAACCAGTCTCCAGATGAGGCGTCAAGCGTCAGCGCTCTATTGAATTTCAGTCCTGGCCTGGTCAGAAAACCCCCTCTGATTGGCTGCCTACCCCACCATCCCGCTTCCTGGGGAAAGAGCAGCCAATCAGGCCTCTTCGGGGGGAGCCCAAGTTGGGGAGCCCACCAGCCCAGCAACTCACAGGTCGCCGCCTGTGAGCAATAAGCCCAGTCCGCACTCTCCATCTCTGCAGGACTGGGCAGGGGAGGAGGGTGCAGAGCCCACCCCGGAGGGGGAGAAGAGGTGCCTGGGGCTGAAGAACCGCAGGCGCTGCCAGAGGAGCCCAGGTAAGCCTTGGGAGGACTGGGGGTGAGCACGGAGCAGAGGCGGAATTGGCAGCCCTCAACCCGCTGGTGGTCACATAGGCTGGGGGCGTTCACGCTGCAGCCCGGTCTCTAGACGGGGGCCAGGGGCTCCTCTGCCCACGTGGCGTTGGTGGCGCGGTACCGCCTCCTGCTCCGGAGGCCCGGGGAGACAGACGGGTCAGCGCAGCCCGTCGGGGTCCTGCCACCCCCAGCTCAGCGCGGGTGGGCGGCCTGGCGCCCCGGGCTGGGGGGGAGCAGGGCACTCACCGAAGTCCAGGAACTGCTTCATGGAGAGGGGCGACGGGGAGAAGCGGGCGTAGAAATCCACCTGCTGCGGGAGGCCGGCCGGGGAGGCGCCTCTCAGCAGAGCCCGCAGCAGCCTCATGGCAGCCTCGAGACGCGGCTCCGCTCCTTTCAGCCCGGCCCGGCCACCATTCCCGCCTGTGCAGCTGCCCGGAGCCCCGGCTCCTGCCCGGGCCGCGGCCTCCTGCACTGCGCGTCCCTCGGAGGATCGGGCGGGCGGGCGGCGCTGTACTGAACGGGGGGCGGGCAAGGGCGGCCGGGCGCCGCCTCCCTCCCTGCTCGGCGCCGCGCCCCGCCGGTGGGGGCGGGAATGGCGCAGAGGTTTGATTAGCGGAGCCTCCCGACCTAGACACCACCTCAGAGAGGGGCCAGGACCGCCCCCGTCCGCTACGCCAGGCAGGAACCCTGGGCTCGGCCCGGGCCTGGCCATACAGCGAGCCCTAGCGGGGAAGGCCGGCCCCGCACCTAGCCAGGGGCCCCCCGTTGAATTCCGCACTGTCACGGCTGGCCCGCTTGACCCTCCTGGGAGCCCCTGTTGGTGCCGGGGAACTTGTCCATGTCACTTACAGCCCCCCCCC